GCTCATCTTACTCTTTCTCTGCCTTTGTATCGGTCTGTCTCTTTTACATCTGTGAATCACTCTTCTGTTCTCCCTCCCGAATTCTTCTCATTTCGATGTTCCTCCTCCCCTCTGTGAAGCCCGAAGTCAACTAAAGGGCTAATGATAACTTTCAAAACGCCTGCCATTTGTTATAAATAATAATAGATAAATGAAGTAGACAAGCTTCAAAAATATTTGTGGAAATTTATGACCCATGAGTATTAATAAACTGCTCATTATTAAGTAGTTAAATTAATTCATTCCTGCTGATTTATTTATATTTCGTGCCAACATAGTCTTGCCTACTTTTGAGGTATGCAGTAGGTTACGCATCCAATTCCATTTTATCATTTCGAAATGCTGTCTATTGCTTAGATAATGTAAAATCAATGAAAAAGAATTGAAAAAACTTAGCAGATCGACTCAACTTCGCTTTGGAATGTCGGCAAAGGTTTTTACTTCAATATTCTTCGTAATTCTATAAACTTTGACTTTGATATTTTTAAGTGAATGAAACGAGAGTATATTATCTACGATCAGCTTTATTTTCTCCTAAATTCTCTTAACTCTTTGAAATTGTGTTTCTATTTTAATAGGTCTATTTGGATATCAATTTGATATCACGATGTGGATTTCGGCAGTGGGATCGGAAAAAGCTCTTGTTCTAACTACGAACGCACAAAATAAGGTGGTTTCTTTGAATAAATACTATTATTTCATAAATTGCTTGAGTTGAATTTATTGATTTGGTATATTTAGGTGACCTTAGGAGCAACAATCTTTGAACTGAACGAATCGAGGCCACCTAAGCTGATAACGAGCGCCATGCTTCGCAATGCGATTGCTCACAGTTTGACTGAGGAGAGGTAATAACTTTGTTTACACTTGGTTTTTATTTTTTGCCACTCTATATTCCAGCTATTACATTATTGATGCCCAATGGATTGACAATGACACTGTCATATTGAAAGTCATCAATGGTAACCAAAGACATCTTTGGATTATTGCCTGTTTGTTGGCAACTGATTCTGTGTATTGCACCCAGGTTAGTCTGAAATGTTTAAATACTCGACGAAAACTTGTTTGTTATTATCAATCTAAAGCAAAGTCTATTTTATTTGGGCCCGAATAAAATACTTATTACGTGAATGCATTAAAAAATTCTCTGACCAAAATATAAATATTTACTTCCCATTTCATCTTCACTTTTAGAGTTGGGATTTTATTAGTGAACAATGTCCTTTGGATAATGTGAGTGCAATTGTGAAATGATAAGATTATTATTTAACTGCAATAATCGTATTTTCAAAGCCGAAGTTAACTATGTAGCATGAAGATGTTCAAAAGTTTTGAAGACCCTGACCACGTGAAGCTAATATCTATGTTCTTAATGATTACAGACAATTAGGAAATCAAACCCTCAATTTACCAAATTTAATTCAACCTCTGATAGAATATAATTGGTTTTCAAAATTTCTTAACTTAAAGCTGATAGAGACTATTATGACAGATATATTCGCTTTAAATAGCATTTGGTATTCAAGAGACTAAAATTGCGTTTAATGGAATTTCTTTGTAAATTTAATTGCCAATAACTGATATCTTCCATTTCCGTAATGTTTTCAATAGCAATTCAGGTAAATTAGGGAATGATTTATTGTGGAAATTTAATACGAAATATATTCATTCATACTCTCTGCCACATTCATCAGTTATACCATTTTCCCCGTTATGGGAGGTGAATGGGCCTTCCAGATAATTGATCTATATTTGGATCACACTGGTTAGCAATATCAGTGTTTAATGCAGCTCATATTCTTTCAAAAATGAGTGCAACAGAAAATGCCCAGTGCTAGAAACACATGTTGGCAGTTTTAGAGCTATAAATAATGACTGGAAGTCAACAATAGTAAACGACTGTTCTAAAAGTGGTGCACAAGGAGTTATATGAACCAAAGCGCATTAAATAAACGTCGAGTACATTCGAGTGATAGCAGATAAAGTGGCAAACATGATTCCCCACTAGGCACTCAATGTGTACACAGATATATGAGGCTTTAAGTAGTTCCGTAGAAAAGGGGTAACGCGAGCAAATGGAAGATGTCCGGACATCGCTGAAAGGGGAAAATGGAATTCACTATCGCTCGTTCAAGCACCACTTACTTGCTTACAATACAAATTTCAATGCAATAGGAACTTGTAATTCACAGAATTAAATTTTACGCAAAATACTGATGATGTGGTTAATCGGAAGTAGTCCAGATTCAAAGCATAAAAAAGTTCACAGTCCTTACTTTGTACCAAGATATATTGTAAATAATGGAACGTATTTACTAATCAATTCATGCAAATAGACAAATGGAATAATGTGCGTATTTGTTTCAAAATATGACTATAGGCTAACACTTTCTCAAAGCTTCAACTGCATTAAGAGAAGTAAAAGGTAGAGGTTAATAGAAATGTCCACATGGCTCTTTGCCTCTTGGAATATTTTTTTCTCAGTGGAAATTACATCAATGTAGTAAAGGTACTTGTTTGCTTTAATACTTTGAGATAAAACAATTTATTAAATAAATACGTCGATTTCTAATAATGGATAAGATTTAACATAAATGTTATCTTTAAATCCACTCGTTTCGCATCATCCGACTAATAAAAAAATCCACATATGTATTTATGCCTTACTTTAGCTGACGAAATTTCATGGGAAAAATTATGAAAACGCATTTACTGAAATCATTTTAACACCTTGAAATTGATTAACATTTATTTGCAATTCTTCATAGATACCAAATCATAATCGAAACCATGAACATGGAACATATTATACAGTTCTACCTGAACTAATTGAAAATCGGTTGCAATATCGGGTTGCGAAGCTAAACGTACGTTCAAGCTAAACTATCTGATAATCCATATTTTTTTATAGTTTATTAAAGGCGGTAAAATTGAATCTCATATCTGGTTGACCCCAAAGGAAATGAACGTAGAAAGTTTGGAAAAAGTCAAGTTTAACCACGTCTGGTTTACTTCTGCGTTTGCCGTCGAAGGATCCAAGCACTTGTTAAGGTGAAAATTTATTTATATCAAATGGCAGGCTTTATGATGCTTATCATTAGCTCTTTTGTTGACTTCGGGCTTCACAGAGGGGAAGAGCACCAAAGTCACAAAAGTGGAGAGGGGGACAGAATAATGATTCCCAGATGTAAAAGAGTCAGACAGACACAAAGGCAGAGAAAAGGTAAGATGAGCATTGTGAAAGTGGTCAAAAATGACATACAGTGGGGTGATGGTAGTTTGAAGTCAGAAGTCAACTTCCGATTTATAGGCCATTTTGCCGTATGAGTATACGGCAAAAGTGGAGGTAAGTCTACCTCACACCCCTATTAAAGTAAAAATTAATTTCAGAAGTTCCTTTAAAGTCGAAATACATTTTAGCATTTTTGAATAATACTTGGGGTTAGCAGGTGAATAACTGCAATAGGTAAAATATATAAGTATTTTATATCTTCAGAGATAACCAATTAGAATAAATAGGCAAGACGTTTGTCTATATCGTGCCCAATCATTGGAGCTCACACTCAGAATGGCAATTTAAATTTAACGATCACAATGAAGAATCATGTAAAACTTTATTACTTAGTAAAGTCCTTCCGTTAGAGCTCCGATTTTCTGTTCTTTTCTCTTAACTTTTCTGTGTCGCAAATTTTATGAAAATTTCCGCGCAATAAACTAAATTATCAGATTCAGTGGAACATAAAATTATTACTAAATTTGTCCCGTTTCTGTAGCTTAATAATGGGATTGTGAGAAAAAAGAGCCGCATAGAATCTCTTTTATTTAAGGAGCTAATAATAAATCCAATCTGCCCAATAACAATTGCCCAATGATCTATTTTACAATTCCTTCCTTTATTTTCTGTCATAACCGCCTGGAAGACTTATTTGATTATGTTCGAAAGGTTCACATTATTTTATCAAACAGGCAGCAAAATTATAGCCATCTTTCTACTATTAATCAACGACCCAGTCAATTTTACCTGAAACATCATAAATTTAGGTAAATTAAATTTAAACTGAAAATTATTGCTTGTTCGACAGCCAGTAAAGTTTTTCGATTTAGCTGACATAATTTTGAGTATGAAATATGTTTAATAAGAAGGAAATCTTTCTTGAATAGCACTAATTTTATAATCTTATTAAAGGTTGGATATAGCAGATGGGTCAACAATCTGCCTTACTTGCTTTATCGGAGCAAATAATGAAACCAACGTATACTCCCGCTTGGCATACGTCGCAGTTAGTGATGACGATAGTTCTTTCGCTGCCAAGTTCGAGACTGGATATGAATTCTTTGAGCCCCTTCAAATTCAACGGTCAGCCGCAAATTTTCATCAAAATCGACTTACTGGCTCTATTACAGATACGTTTGGAGAAGCCGACGCTAAACTTGTCACTAATCACCTCATCAAACCTATTACCACTTGCCAATGGATGGAACGACAAGAATTAGAAACGGATATTTATGTCTTTGCATATTTGAAGGAGATGTCAATAAGTAATGCATCTTTAGATATTTTAACTCAAAATTATCTTTTATTTTGATGTAGCAAACATTTTGTGGAGAAGTTCGCTTATGACTGTATTACTGCGGAATTCGACGATCAGTAAGAATGAATCTGTTAGGAAACGGCGATCGGTCGATGTTGAAAATGTGTTCATTCCGGAGGAACAAATATCCCCCAAAGTAGGCAACAAAGATGATGCGGCCAAGTTAAAATTGAAAACTAGACGATTATTCAAGCACGCGCCACTTGGATTATCCTTTTTGGTTTCAAATGCAGTTGAAGAAGGAAAACAGTTTTGGATGCCTTACTCCACTTTGAGATGCCTCATAGTTAAAAAAGATGCCCTGAATTCGCTGGAAGATAACTGCAATGTCTTGGTACGCTTCTGGTACCCACCGAATTTGAATGAGAACCATATCACGCAGCACGCCTTTCTTCTTATCGTGTAAGCAGAACCTCCTTTTTAAAATTACAAGACTGGGCCGATAATATCCTTTTTTAATAAATACACTCTCCAACAGTGTAAGACTAAGCATTCTTGGTATATCACCATATAACAGTAAGCAAGTGGTTATTATACGTGAACAAATTTTTGTCTCTTTATCGCATAACCTGGGCAACGGAAACATGACGAAGCGTAATTATTATCCGTTATGCTCCCTTTTCTTAGTTCGATTTCAGACATTTTGTTAATTCCTTCTTAGAAAGGTCTAAAGTGTTACATTATTTTCAGATTCAAACTTATAACGTTTTGAATTGATCTAATGTGTCATTTGCTAATGAGTATTTGAAAAAGTGGCAATTTTTAAGCCAAAGCGTTTTTTTATAATTAACACTTTTGCCAGTCTAGTCTATACTAACTAAGAAAGCCACTATAAATTCACATTTGTATTAGGCCTTCATTTGCTTTTCCATACCCTATGATAAAGTTGCACAATTCTAAAGGCGGTGAGATGAAAATGGAAAGAACACAAACTTATACATGTAGTCGGAAAGTTCATTTAATGGATGGTGTTTTAAGTTAGAGTAAGCGGTCAAAATTTCACTCTATAATATGGCATGCACATCACAAAGATTGTCGACTTTTTGTTAATTTTAGACGGAAAAATTTACGTCGATCTGAGGGTGACAATCTCTACGAAAAGCTTGCTTTTGCCTTAAGCTCTCATGAACGTGTCATAGTGGGTAGAGTGGAAAGTTGGTTGGGTGTTTGTCGAAATCTCTATTCTACTGAGAATCCAATATCTCAGGTTGCGCTCTATCGCAGTTTACTCAAGTAAGTATAAACATTTAATTTACTTCATTTTAAATTTCTTCAAGTTTTCTCTTTCTTTTTAAGATTAAATTAATAACGGTGTTACTTATAATCTTCAGCAAGTTGTTCCTTAAACTGCATAAATGCTAAGTTTAGGATAGTGGAACTTTTAATTGTGCATAAATTCTACTGTAATAGGTTCAAGAAGAATTCTTTGCCAATTTTTCCCTTTTTAGGGCTGTCCAGGAGAATTATCATTACATAAATCCAGATCAGGTTGCAGTAATAGGCAAGAGGGTAAGATTTTGGGCGTTTGGGTGGCTGTTGCAAAAAAATATAAATTGAACCCATAAATATCTGGTATTATTTGAGCTTCCAAGAAAAATTTTCTAAATGCACCTAAATTTGTTAATAAAAATTATGATAATACAAATCTAAATTATGAAGATGAACACTTTAAAGTTTTCTTACATTTTTCATTAAACTAATTCTGATATTTGTCCAAAATAGACAACAGTTAATTCAAATTTAGTATTTTTTCAACTTTACTTATTTTTAGCTGCATATTTTAGTATCACATTCCTTATTTACGAAAGGTTTAAATACGGTGGTTAAGGGTGCAAAGGTGGTTCAGGGAGGCCAAATCGTTCAGGCACATCGGTGATTATGAGGATGACGTGCGGTTCTATGTAGACTTCTGTCATAGAGTCGATATTCAAAGGAGCGTAACAAATTATTGAGAATAACTCATCGAAGGTTTATAAGAGCCATTCCATTGGTCTGCAAACAATTCCCTTTTAGGAGACTCGGTGCTTGTTACGTACTTAAAAATAGTAAATCAATTGTAGTTAAGACTTAAGCTTAAATAGTAACCGAAATTAGCACGATATTAAAATAAGTGTGCCTTAACTTAAACAAGAAATTCGATGAAAGAACAGAGCTGAAACAGTGCTTTTTCATAGTTCCAACCTTTATTTAATCATACTTGATGCATGAAATTTAGTTGAGAATATAGAATTAATTAGTAAAGTAATTTATATACAATTCCATCTGTTATTAGCTTAAAGCCGTTTTATGCTCAAAAGAAACACTTTTAATTGAATGAAATATTTTCCAAATAGAAAAATATATTTATGCTTAGATTATGAAAATTTCATTAATAACTTTTGTACTTCGCAAGGGTCTGTCACAATTTGTTAAATCTGGTTTAATTAATGGTAATGACAAGTGTCCTCTTCATAATTCATTTGGCCACTACTAACCGCTATTACGCTGTAGCGGATTGCCACGATAGTAAAGCCTGACCGACTCAGAAACCTCTATGGCAGATTCTCCAACATCTAGCTAGACTCCCAGAATAAGTTAAGCTATAGCTCAGCTATAAAGGGAAACAAACGTGTAGAACGGAATACGTTTATTCAATACGTATATTGATAGCAAAGTGTTGAGTTTGGCAAAGTGATTAGTTATCAGAAAACTCTAGCATAATTCGTGTGAACATTAATAGCTCAATATTTCTGAGTAGTACTCTATAGCAGGATTTCTATTTGGTTATTGATGAAGTGTCCCACAACGCTTTCTCCTATATGGTTTGTGTACTTAACCAGTTTTTCGATGCTGCCTAAAAGGAAAGAGCCTTTTATAAGAAAAGTAGAATAACGGTATCATTCTAGGAAAAAAATTTGAAAATCAGATTTATCCCAGGAATTTGGAATAGCTATTAAGATTGTAACGATGTGCATAATTACCGGTCGAGTCAAAAAACTGATAATAATTGCCATTTAATCTTATAAATGATGAACTTTTCAATTAATGAACTTAAATTTGATAAATTTCTAAATCATTATAATCGAATTTAGTTATGGCAATAAAAACATGTAAAACCGAGAGATTTCTTCCAAAAATGCAGAAATAGAGGTAAAAATAGTTTGAATAACTATCTAACAAATGAAAAAATAAGCGAAAACGTCTTGTAAGGGAGTTATATTCAATTCCATTTACCTCAACTTAAGAACATGAAACGCTTAATTAAATTTATTTTCCTATGTTATTTATGAACACGTAATTTGTCAAAATTTAACCATAGAATTGTTTAGTAATGAAAGTCTTTCTAAAGTATAACTATTGTAATATATGTGCATGTTAAATATTTAAAAAAGGGGCTTTTTGTATTTAGGGTGCAGACGCTCATCTTGCCGGCTTGATTTTAGCCAGCGGTCACTCTCCGCTCCTACCCCGTTGCGGTGTTCTCATAACCCCCATCATCGACTACTCAAAAACTGGTGAGCTGAACTTTGTTGTCTCCCCGCCCCAACCCCCTCTCCCATCCTTTTAGTATCAATACCACTTGCAATCTTATTGGAAAGCCAATAACTGAAATACCCTTGAAGACTCACATTAAGGCCTATATTTTTATTTCTTGATGACAATTTTGATATGCCGGTCACGTGTCAATTTAAATAACCTTAAATAGTTTTAGGGTCTGGCATTTAAAGTTTGGACTTTTACAAATTGTCCTATTCACTTTACTATTAATTTGTTCAAAATTCAACTCATAGTTAACTGATCACATTATATTTAAGGCCTTTTTAGTTTTATCGAATTAATAATATTGGGTACTTAAATAAATGGTTGACTATTGTCAGATAAGGATAATTTGTCTTACGAATAGATATTGCTATATATATATATATATATATATATACATAAAAATTAATTTTGGAATCCTAAGAATCATCTCTAACATTCGCGCAAATTCCAAAAAAAAATAATTTGGTGCACTATCGCAGAGACACACAGTTAATGTAAAAGGTATTGAGTTGGACTTTGCTAAGTTAAAATAATATCTTCTCCATAAAATAAAATTTATTTAATGTCAATGACCAACCATCTAAATTCAACAATTTATCAATGAACTCTTGATTTACTCTTGAAATGGGACCTTTAAATTAAATACTATATATATATAACTTTGAATAGCAGAACTTATGCAGATCCCTTGACGCCCTGAATTTTGTTGCACTTATACTCAGCCTCATTCTACTAGACAACAAACTCAGCTAATAAGCAGAAAATATGGCTTAAATGTCCTCTGCAAGCTGTAGGAAGTGGAGGCCGTAATGGGAATGCATTGAAATGAATGGGCGATGCTGAAGTTCACGGTTGCGTCCCTAGAATAATAAAAGATCGGAAATTCCTTATCCTCTGAAAACACTAGTACAATCATCGTTAATTAATTAATTAATTTTATGATTGGTGTTAGTTCGATATAGAAGTCTACATGTTCCAGCGCTCAATGAAAGTTGATAGTCTAAATAAATTTTGAGAATTAATTTAGCAATAGAACAGACAGGATTTAATGTAAAAAGGAAAGAGCATATTACATTAAAAGATACTTGACTGATACATAACCATAGGAAGTTTAATCTATTGACAGCTAAATGAATTGACGAATGGCACACTAAAAACCATTTACTATAAAAATCGATTAATCCATAAATGTACCTTTTGAATGACGTTAATGATGTCGGGTTTTAGTATCAACACTGGCTGAAAGGTACCTGAAATCATATGAAGAAAACGAGTCAAAATACATCGTAAGTAAATTTTGTTTAATTGGAAAATCTTCATCAATATTTAAATATATATATTTATTTATTTTTCAGATGGTGAATTTAGTTCAAAAACCACTAAATCTGCTGGATAAATCTATATTTGTAATGCATGAATATTCAGATTGTAAGTTCTTACTATTCATGTAGTTCCTCTCTTAATTATAAATTTAGATTAGAGGCTAACAATGGTTTCCAATTGTAGCTCTCTACTCTTTCAACCAAACGGCAGAGTTGTGTCGATTCTTCGTGAAGAACAAAATCGACTATGATTTACAAGTAGGAAATGTTATGCGCCCCTCCTTTAATTACTTAAGGAAACATTGTTGAACGTTTTCGTTGCACAACTTAATAACGAGTTATTGTGGTTCAAATTATTCCCAATATTTATTTATTTGTCTCAAATGTCAAGCGTTATGATAGGTATCATTAGCCCTTTAGTTGACTTCGTGCTTCACAGAAAGGAAGAGGAACAACAAAGTGGCAAAAAGTCGAGAGGGGGGGGGCAGAATAATGATTCACAGATGTAAAGGAGACAGGCAGACAAAGAGGCAGAGAAAAGGTAAGATGAGTACTGGGGAAGTGGTCGAATAAGGTAGAAAAAAGGTGAGGTGAATACAGTTGAAGTATTCGAATTTGACATACAGTGGGGTGATGGTAGTTTGAAGTCAGAAGTCAACTACCGTTTTATAGACTTTTTTGCCGTATGAGTATACGTTGCCCAGGGTGCCTCATGTGGAGGTAAGTCTTTCGCACACCCCTTATTCCCAATATTTCAACTAATAATTTCACTGTTAATCATTTAAAATTGTTCACGTATACACGAAATTTTTTTATTCTATTAAAATAAATGTCTGTTAATTAGTAACTAAGAAGAGAGTCATTTAATAAACTGTTCGAAGATGCCTTCGGTTAGCATTGCTAAATTAACTTATTCAACCCAATTTGAGATGATAGTAGTAAGTTCTAATAGGACGCTAGTAACTTACTTAATTGGATTATTTTAGTCTTCGGTTTATAATCAGTCAGGTATTTTATGCAATTTTTTGATTAAACCTTATCTTTCAAAAATGCACTGCATGTATCTTTTCACGCTTTATTTTAACACGATATTCCTTATTAATGCAAAGGGGTACACTAAGAATGGAATAATACAGAAATTCAAAAGAATAAATACTTGTGAAACTCATAACTTCTAATGTTATGACCAAAACTAAAAGAAGCAGCTTTGGCCTCTCTCTCTCCATTTGGGTGGCAATCACAAATATACTATTTAGGGATATTTGTGAGCATGATTAAGGGCTTTGGTGGCAAATCGTAGGGAAATCACTAATTCAATTGGCATTGTTGGACTTTGTTTGGAACCTCACTACACAGCCTGTAATAGAATCTTTCCTATTTGATTAAACAAAATGGATCGATTGTGCCTCCAGCTAGCGTGACTCCGGAGGTAACGCCCTAAGTTAATTTAGAAAGAAAATAAGTAAAGCTGCTTTCAAATTGTGACCCTTTGTTGCTCATGCATGGAGTTATCCATCCTATCAAATGCTCATCCTACGTTAAATTCATATTTTTTATTCGTTTTAGCTGCATCCTTGCGGAGCTTCGGGAACGCTAACTATTGAGGAACAAGTTTCTTTCATTAAAGAAGTTTCCGATTTTCTTCTTGACTGTTTCAATCGAACTTCACGTCGTTGGGATAAAGTTCCAAATTTTATAAACCGAAATTGACGTTCAATTTAACTTGTAAAAAGTAAGATTAGACCATGCTATTGCTAAATTATAAATAAGACTTTTATCCAGAATTTTCTGAGACTTTGAACGTCGTATTAAGTGTATTCTTAATTCAATGTGAAAAGTTAAACAATAACATAACGCGTGTTTTGTAAATAAAACAATACGTTTCACGTCTGCTTATTTACTTTTGACTTGTGGGACACGTCATCTCTTAACGCGTCAACGCATGCCTGCACGCCAGGATTGGGAGGTGCGGCCGTACAACTGTGTGCAGCTACCGTACAAACAGTTTAACCTAATCCGCCATCTTTATCATGGTTAAGCTCAGTACGTGAACACTTTATTCACAGTATACTTACAGAATAAACGTGTTCCGTGCCACACGTCTATTTCCCTCATAGCTGGGCTATAGCTTAGCTAGTTCTGGGAGTCTAGCTAGATGTAGAAGAATCCGCCACGGAGATTTCTGAGCCAGTCAGGCTTTACTAGTGTAGCAATCCGCTACAGTCTAATAATCTACTGATCAAAACTTAGGAAAGATTCATTATAGTTAGCTATTCTTTTATAATAAGGTAGGGTGTGCTTTCAATCAATGAACCTACTCTTGGTACACATTACACCATTAAAGTTTGCATTTCGGTTGACTATTCAATAAAGAAACGAGAACCAGGAAGTAGATTCTATTATTTTACAAATAAAATATCTGATGTGACTAGTATTGTTATTTATGTTGTTTTTCATTTTCCAAATTGGTAGAAATGCTTATTCGCTTTAGTCCCTTGCACATTTGGTTTTACTGTGGAATTTGTTTGCTTCGTTTTTCATTCTGCATGTGTCTCACATCGAAATTGATCAATGTGAATAAATAAAATTTATGGTATTTAATTATAGCAATGATTTAAACAAAGTGTTTGGAAATCAGTGAAATAAACAAGGCTTATGCCACGGAACGTCAGTTTGGTACAATACTGTAGTGAATTGCGAGGTTGCACGGCCGCACCTTAAGCCTAGTGTGCGCGCCCGTGATGAAGTGTCCCACAGTGCGCATATTACTTTTGGTTTTTTATTTTATTTTATGCCAGCTAACACATCATTCATTTGATGGAGTAAATACATGCCAAAAATGAAGTAACAGATCTTAAGCAGGCAAGATCCGATTCGTGTAAGATGAAATAGCAATGTTCGTTTGGTCAGTTTAGAATGAAAACAAGTAGAGTATTTCTTATATATTCTGACTTGACTTGAAAAGAGTTTAGTTCAAAATAATCCCAATAAGAGATGATTATCATGACTTTGGAATGGAAACATATTTCGCTAACCACTGTCTTAAAAATCAATACTAGTTACAGTTACTTCTAACGCCACTTTTCAGTTCATCTTTTTATCTATCAATTTTTTGGTTACTAGTTAGAAAGATTATTTAAATCAATAGAATTTGTAATTCGTAAAATTTGCGTGAAAAATGTAGGCTTGTTTTACCAGACCCAATATAAAAATCTTAGCTCGACCATATGAGATCTAAACTACACCTGCGACCAAGTGTTTCAAATTCTGAATATTACTTGGCATTTTCTTACTAGGTTTCAGTCTGTCAATATTTTGTAAAACGAGAAATCCCTGGATTAATTTCAAGTTATTGCCCTTGAGCTCTATTGTGCCTATGATTGGTACGAACGTAGTTAAATGACATTACAGTATGTTACAGCATGGTAATTACACTCTCTTCGTTCTTTATACCCTTCATTCGACTGAAAACAGACAACTTAAACTACGGTAATTGAAATTTGAGGCTAAATCATACGTCTGAATGTGATAGTCCTGAATGCGTATGAATACCCAAAATCACTCTATCCATTTCGTCGTATTCGTTAAGGAGGCTGGGTGTAGTGAGCTGGCTTATCTGACCTAATGGTCATAGAGTGAATCAAATGTACAGCATTAGGACGTCATAATCGATTCACTTAAAGTTAAAAAATCAGTCATGTGAAAAGGAAGAAGCAGTTGCCTTATTTGAATTGGAATAAGCAACAAATCAGCAGCTTACAAAACGGATCAAAACAGATGGAAAAGTTTTTAGAAGTATTTTTGATTACGATTGTGCGCATTTATTTATTTGCGGATGTGTAATGTAACGCATGAAAAATAATGTTCCCAATGGTTCTTCGGCATTTGATCTTATAAAATAGTAAACATTTCAATCATTTTTTATTCCCAAAATGACAGACCTGAGTCAATCAAGCCAAGTGAGATTTTACATACTTTCAAGCGCTTTTTATTAATAGACCGTGAATTTTGAAGTGGCATTCACACTATATATGGAATTTTGGTGGGATGTTATTTGACTTGAAATCTACCTAACTTTATTTCATCTATTCTTTAATTTAAAAAATTACCTCGGCACTTTTGTGCGCTCAGACGGTCTTGAAGGTGCGGTCATTAGGGCAGAAACCACTCTGCCAACCAGCACTGCATGATCAGAGTGGTCCAAACTCCATTTTACTGACTGTTCACACTATGCCCTCTATTTCCTTGATACCGTCAAAGCAGCTTAGCAAATTTCAGAGCAATTTCATACTAGGAGAAGTTAGTCAAGGCTTATTTGTGTACCATTCATCATATAAATCGTCCAAATTCCTACAAGAAGCTACTTTTGGTTATGTATTCAAATGGCTTTATTTGAATTTTACTATTTTTTTCCTTTAATGTTATTTTGTGGGCATTGTTTTTATGTTGCTTAATAATGCTTGTGTGCCCTTTAGGTTGATGGCGGTATCAATAAAATTTCTTAAAAATAGAAAATGGCGAGTTGTATTTGATTTAACCAGCTGCAACAGATAAAATCGTTGGAGTTAAAACATTCTGACTTGCACGCCGTTTTATTTTATTCAGCGTAAAATCAAGTTAATACTGCCCCGAAACTCATCTGATGACCATTATTTAGCCGTTTTCATACACATATGATATTTCTATAAACTTCATAAATTTACACATTGGGAGTACATTTGAGTGTGTTTAAGTAAAAGTAATATTAAGATGTGACTAACACAATTTTTCAATTGTTTTAAACTTGGATGATTCTTCTCTTACAACTTGCAATATGAGATAAAATATCCATGTTAATTCTAACCTTGATTTATTAATAAAGATATACAATACATAATCTTAAACAGAAGCCTTCAGAGCAAAATAATAATTGTAACTAATGCCCGTTAAAGGTCGAAAATTTTGAGAAGAATCGCAATTTTAGGTTAAAAGAAATCATCGTTTCCTTTCAGGCCTTCATACTTCAGTCCGCTTCCCTAGCACAGCTTTAATGTTATTGTCACAAATCTGATTATTATGATCGAATGATTTAAATAAAATAATCATCTTCAGCCACATCAGGGACCAAGGTTTATGAATATTTTAAATGGAAGTTAGGATATATTAGATATTTAACCTCTATGTCTCTAAAATAGTGTGTTTTTTAAAATTCACCCTGATATCCTCTGTTAATTATTCATGTTAAGAAAGCGGTTACATTTGCTTTAAAGACCACAGAACTCTTAATCAGAAAGATAATCATATGAATGTTTTAAAATATCTATAGATTACTTTATACTTAGCACAACAGTTTCTTTACATCAGCCCTCTTTCGATTTGCGAGTTCGAGTTATGAAGTTAAGAGAGAATTAAAAACCATTTCGAGAGGGGGGACGGAATAATGATTCACAGATGCAAAAGAGACAGGCAGACACAAAGGCAAAGAAAAAGTGAGATGAGTACTGTTCAAGGAGTCGAATACAACATAGAGTCGGGTCATGGTAGTTTGAAGTCAGAATTCAACTGTCGGTTAACAGGCATTATTGCCGTACGAGTATCCGTTGCCCAGGGAGCACCATTTGGAAATAAATCTATTGCACACCCCTTTTAAATATTTATTTAATAGTACGTTTGTCAGATACTTAATTGTCTCTGTTTGTGCAAATAAAAGTGAATAAAATAATGCTTGTTATTGGTTGAAGTAATGGAGTATTATCATACAGGAAAGAGATTTATTTAAAGTATTTATTTATTTTAAGTAAGTATAACGCTGAGAGTCAGACGTCACCTTTTGGAGAATTTAAGACTAGTAATGCAAAACGAATGTTTTACTTAGAAATTCTCAAGTAGACTTAAAAAATACATTATTTCATCACGCCTTTTATTCGTATATAAGACCTAATGACTTGATTCTGCCAGCAAAACTCGACAAGTGAAGATATTCATCTTAACTCCTTTAGCATGTATGGATGTTTCGGTGGTATATTTGCAAAATATAAAAGGTTATTGGTTTAAAATTTTGTTGCTTTCATTAAGTCAAGACAAATTGTTATGAATTAAAATGCAAAATCATCTAAATATATAGATAAAGTTATTAAAAAATCCAGTTCAACCTTTTGAAAGAAAATTAACAAATTTAAATAAATTAGCATAAATAACATGAAAAAAATCTGTTTATATTTCGTATTGCCTGGCTAAACCTTAACAACTGTTATTTGTTTAGTTTGTCCATTTCAAGAACGCTCATAGAATAGGTGCTGGTTTCTAATTCCCTGGGTATGGTACCTGTGTGGCCTGATATATGCCTATGATCTAAAAAAGCTAAAAGAAAAGGAATTCGAAATTGTGCTTTGCTTTTAAATCCATATATCTATTTTTTATCGTGTAAGTCATTTTGCAATATGCGTATTTCTATATAGCAATCCTTAAGGAAAGTCTTTTTCTTTGTTAAAACTATTGTATTCATTAAACCTTTAGCTAATCAGTATGGAATGCAATGAAATCTGCCAGTCTGGAGTCGTTTATAATACTAAAAGCCCTGAGAAATTTATATCTCGAACAAAACCTCTTTCTTCTGGATCTTCTATTTCCTCATCTGGAGTATCCTTTGAAGATACAGTTTCTGACGTATCACACTTCACAACTACTTTAAAAAAATCATCAGGTTGTTACCCTAAATGACTAACTTTTAAGTAAACTTAATTTTGCTTATTCCTTGTACGGTAGAAGTTTTCATATTTCACGTTTAATTATTTTCTTACAATTATATTTTAACCAAATGGAGGCTCCTTATGTTTTGATTTAACTTGAAATTTCACCAAAACATTTTAGCTCTGCTATAAATTTTGTCCTTTGTATGCTTTCACTTACCGCCCACATGCTTATTGATTGCGTGCGGATCCCCTATAATATATACAAGCTCCATAATTGTTCTCCAGATAATATATTTTAATACCGATCTACTTTTGTCCATCTTTCAGTGGAGGCCTGCGGTGATCTATTCTATACACACTCGTCCTCAAGTGGATTTATAACAAATCGAGATGACTCAAATACCATTTCATCCATGTATTCAGGCTCTATTCAAGGTCCCCAAGTATATACTACTCCGATTCTCAGGTACTTTTTCCCCTTTTTTTTCTTTCCGTTCAAAATTTGTGGTTGCTATTTTGAGATCACTTCTAAATAGTCTTGAAGTGATTTTTACGCTGAAGTTAATTTCGATACACATTAAATTTTTTGTCGCATTTAGCTTTTAAAGCACAAATTCGTCTAAAACCAAGCTTTGAAACTTAATAAATTAAATTTGTTAATCTTTTGTCTCTGAATCAATTAATGCAACCTTATTATATTTACTTAATACAGAGAATCCTCAAAATTAAATCGATCTCAGCTTCAACAAATTAGAAAGTCTTTTCTTCCTTACACTGGTTCTTCACAATTCGAAGATGACGATTTAGAGGAAGAAGAGAATGAGGAGGAAGAAGAAAATGTCATGGCACGCAGTGCCACCATCCACATTTCTACTGCGCATTTCAATCCATCATTAAAGGCGCGTGTCTCAGCCATCTCCTCTCGTCCAAACGATTTGATATGCAAATCCATGAACGAGGAAACGATCTCCCCGTCAAGAAACGAGGAACTCGCTCTGACTGTGTCAAACTTTTTTATCAATTTGAAACACTCCTCTATTCAAATACCGCCACTGGATGAGACTGTTGAAGCAACAACTGTGAATCCCCTATCCACTGAGGAGACTACTCCCACTGAGAGCTTTGGATGTTTTAGGGCTTTTTTCAGGCTCTTTGCAAAGGAGGTCGAATCTGTGGTGAATCGTCAAATAGCTGGAGGTAGTTTTCTCTTTCATGATACTTATTAACCCCTTTATTTAAAAAATTGATATCATGAATATTGTTAGAGTGTTAATTCTGAATTCTCATTTGTGGAGATGCACCTTCGGGGTGCTTTATCTCACATTGATTTATCAAAGCATAATTAATTAATTATTAATCTAGAATATTAAGCGGTTATTAATGACCATTCATACTTATTGGTAGTCATTTTGTTTACCCAGAAGAATATTTACCTCTTTATAGCGTTTGCAGCATTCATTTTTGAAACTTTTGTTCAATTTGGAAACTGTTGCGTTTGGTTTGCCTTAGTGTAAATGTTGACAAATATTTGTTCCCGTACTCATTTCAATTAGTTTTCTTTTTAATTTATATTATCCCGAAATCCGTGTTTACAGGCAATCCAGTCTATCCTGCTAAAGATACCCTTAACATCCTTCTTGATTTGTCAATGGCTATATCTTCGCTTACAGCCTTCAGAAACCTTTGTAGAAGCTGAGTTATTGAATATTTTTCTTCGACTTTAAGTATAAAATTGTGATATATATATATATATATATATATATATATATATATATTTATGTAGAAAGACTTCATAAGTTTTTAGAGACTTATAGAATATGACTAACCCAAATATAACTGTCGATTATATTGAAAAGTCAAATAATTTTTAAATGCATATTTTTCCAAATAATACAGTGCCATTTAGAAGAAGGTATATGAAAATCGGGATGATTTTACGTGTATTCAGAGGAATAAATGCACAGAGATTATAAAAAGTAGAAATGTATACCAGATGTTATGGCACCATTTTAGCCGTATTTTGAAAAGTTCCGGTTTAGTTACAATTTATTATAGAGTTTAGTGAATCTGTAATATGCTTGTTTCACTCTAACTTTCAGTGAGTACAAACGTAATCCTTATTGAAGTCCATATAAACCAATCAAGGACCCCCAAATTTGACTATTAAGAGGGCGTTCAACGGTTTTTAACAATTGGATTTGAATTAAATTCTAAATAAGGCTAACAGATGCATTTTTCTCCGAATTAAGTATTTTTTAAAATACTTGATCAAGCCCTTTTGTATTGCGGTTTTAATTTGCTCTACACCACCATCACACTTAGAGAACAATAAAAGTATCTCAGTTTGAGGTTGAGTACTGTGAAATCATTGTGTATTTCCTGTCATCCACAAATTGAGTGAGGACTTGCCTTTTTGGCCACATGTGGCATTATATTTGCTAATTTTACCCTGCCCCTCTCATTATTAGCATTATTTCGCCTATTCACCATAGATTAACTTGACTTTTTTGCTTACAAGTATTATTCTGGCCCTTTTAAAAGTGCCACTTTCTACACTGTCATTAAATCTTTTTACTACAAAAGTTGATGTTTCTACTTTTCATTCTTCCCTATATTGTTTTTGATATATGTGCGTTAAAACATATACCTGGATAGCAAAAGACACTGCAGTACAATTTTGTAGTTTCTGGACATAATGTAATTAATTTTTCCAAAGGTGAATATAACGCTAGAAGTTATGTTTTTGAGGGGTGTATATTTTTACTTACCCATTGCGATTTAATTGGCATTTCCTTGAACTCAAAATATAGGCCTCACAGAAACTAAATACTTGACTACTGAGTCCACTTATTGGTTGACCCTTGTGTCACTAAATGTCATTCACGTGGATAGAGTGGACAACACAGAGGATATTATAAATGCTAGAGGATTTAAAATCTAGATTCTGAGTTGTAGTTTCTTCCATTTACATGAAGTGAGGTAAAGATGGAAAGGGGAGGTGAAATAACGTTGGTATGTTCATTACGATGAACTGTTGACTTACTGCATAGGCTAGTGCAGAGACAGCAGATATCGAGAAAAATGGTTGGGCTATAGTAATCTAATGACATATTTTCAAGAGTCATGAGGTAATAAGACATTTCAAATCCAGACATGACAGTTCTTTAGGGAGTGTGTAGCAACATTGACGCTTATTTATTGTCGCATACCTGCAGATACGGAAAATGCACATGATAGACTTTGTTATGTAGGGCATACAATGTTGATAGGTTTAAAATTACCTCGTAGAAACCGAAAGTGTTCATGGCCTTATCTCAGCACTTAATCATTTGAGCACTTGGAACTAGTGATTGGATTCTATTTCTAAAAGCGTCGTAAAGTTTTTTGGTGACATTTTATATAATGGAATCTGTGAGATGTCATTGTACTTACCTAATTCATTCCCTGGATGTTCGTAGTATTTTAATTATTCATAAGATGTCAATACTACTATGAGTTCAGTTTTTTTAAAAGGTTTTGATGTTTTTAAATATGAATGAATAGAGTGGTTTCTTATTTTTTAATTAACGTTTTCTGCTACAATAACAGAATAGTGACATCTGTAAATGCTTAATTGGCTTGGTAGGATTAATTAAATAGGTAATAATATAAAATGATCAAGAAAATACATTTGAAATCATGGCATTCTGATAACATACCAAATATAATCTTTATTAAATCACATCAAATAGATAAGTTATTAAGTATGAAAGCGCTTTAAAATTGGAAACGAGGACCATGAATCCAAGATTGCAATTGGTGAAAGAAGACAATCCGTTACCTCACGTCCGCATGGCTACACATAGAGCGATAAACGACCGATAACTATGTAGCATGATCTAGCCAATGGCCACGCTGACCTTCCCGTTCAGCTTCTCAATTGGCCCTCTTTATGCAGACATATACTTCACTTTGGTCCAGTATATTTGACTTACATACCTAAGAGAATGAAAACTAGGTAACTAATTCCAGACAGGACTAAAAAGTTAACAAAGGGTAAACTTGTCAACAAGTTTGTTGCGTTTTGGTCGTGTTCTGATACTTTCATAGATATTCGTCTTTAAGTATAGTTTATTTGTGACTATTGCAAATATTTTTTTAAAAACTGAACTACTGATTCACTCCTCTATTCGTAAGCAGTCTGTTGCATCTCACCCATCTTCAACTCCATAAATGTAACCACTTCCGTTCGCAAGTTAAGAGGTTGACCCCTTCTCTCCCTCTCTCTCCCCCTCTATGCTCCTTATGTGGTGTTTGGCCAATGTACACATGGACTTGAATATACATTACCATTACAATTCTGTTCACTCCCATGTTTGTAATTACAAGCAAAATAGGAGCCTCGTGCTGGTGTTGTGTAATTTTCATGATATAAGTATTCGTGAAAATTTAGAACTGTTTGCTACAACTCATCTCATTTCAAGTTAAAAAAAAAACAAACCTCAACCTTTAAAATTCGGTGTAGTTTAGGGAATCAGAATAATGTTTATGGATAAATCCCTAATCAAGGAAAAATTTGTGTTGAAGGCCCAATTCGGACTGACACCTTTTAGCTTTTAGCTATTTTCGAAGAAAAGAAAAGTCATAAGTGTCAAGCTATGTAAAACCAAATCATAATTTCTACATAGCAATATTTGTGACTAAGGAACGTTAGGGATGGCTAATTTTCAGTTTGTGCTTTGAAGGCAAGTTAGTGAAAATTGTTTGAGGTATAGGTTCTTAATATTGAAGGTCCTCGTTTATTTGCTTTATCTCGATCTAAGTTTTCTCAGATCATTTCAAATTCATCGGTTCACTCCATTTGATCGAGTCTTAAGATTGTGAAGCAACATTCATTTCGATAGTTGCAAGGTCGTTAAAGTGCACTTAATTATTAGCCTTGCAATTGTTGACTAGATATAATTTCCGGCTGTCATATAACATTTTCATTATTTATTTTCTTATGACAAGCAAGTTTATTTAACTCGAGCTAAGCTAATGACTTGCGACTATCCAGAGTATGATTTTTATTATTAAAATATCAGAACTTAACATAATTATCCTAACTGGACCTTATTTTACACATTTTTAAGTAGAACCTCAATGGGAATGGCCTCCATCAGAAATCCATGATCTGCAATATGTTGGATCTGGTGCACAGGGATCTGTCTATAAAGCGACACTCCGGGGTCGCGTTATTGCTGTTAAAAAAGTCAGTAAACAATCTGAAACAGAAATCCGACATCTACGTGGTCTATGTCATTCAAATGTCGTCCAATTTCTGTGAGTTTCACGATCATCTACTCACTAACTGCATAAGAACTGACACTATTCCTTATTACTATTATACATTTACATGAAAAATTTCGACTGAATTACTATTTTTGTTACTTAAATCAGTGGTGTAAATATTATTTCCTAACATTCGACAGGTAGCAGAAGTCTTTTGTCAAACACAACTTGTGGGCAGATAAAATTATTTATTTTTGGCCCTAGTAAAATCTTATTGGCCAACTCCTCTACGCTCTTTGCTTAAAGTTGGCCAAAATTAGTAAGTTGGTGTTAGCCAATCAGAATAAAGGCAGGTGGACTTTTACAACGTCGATGCTGTTCTTATAATCTCTCTCAAAATCACTTTTTAACTCCTTTTAAATGTATTTTATCGAATGTTCTCTTTATTTTTCTCAAGAGGAGTTTCGATCGATGGTCCGTGGTACTCCATTCTTATGGAATATTGTCCGAATGGAAATTTCTTTGACGTAATTCACAGCAGTATTTCTGTGGGCATTGAAAATATTATCGACTGGACTCAGCAAATCGCTCAAGGTATGAATTATCTTCACAGTCACAAGGTTATTCACCGAGACCTTAAATCTCCAAAGTGAGTCGAACTCGAATAACTACTGAAACTAAACTCATTAACTACGGAAACACCTAGGATAACAATTAAAATCGAATTTTTTGTAGTTTTCCACAAATAAACTCAGTAAGAAGTGATAGTGCTATTTTAGTACGGAAAAAGTGGATAAATATTACATTATCATAACCCCTAACTTAAAGTACATTTAGCAAAAGTAATAATTTTAATATGATTCGACATTTCGATTGATTATTGATTAGTGTAGCTTTAATAGTACTCATGTCAATGCCAATGAGAATGCTGATCATAATCATGCTTAACTTTCCTATTTGTGTGAAATTTTATTTTGAACCAACCAGTAGTGTGTCAAGTTCGGAGTCAAAATCTGATTGGTCAGCAAAATTCTTTCCTTGCACTTTCGTCTCCCAAAAGGAGCACCAATACTATTTTAAGCATATTAAGAATTGGAAAATAGCCAGAAAAAATGATAATCTGTATATTGATGATTTCAAAGAGTCAATGATCAAGTTTTCTATTAACTTTTAAATAAACCCAAGCGATCTATGATAAAATATGAAATTAATTCAAATAGTGATTGGCACATCAATTCAACTGATAATGATTTCCCTGTTCTAAAGTATTCTCATTGGCGAAGATGGTCAATTAAAAATATCGGATTTTGGAGTATCAAAAGAAATCACCGAAAACTCTACAAAGATGTCATTCGCTGGAACTGTGGCGTGGATGGCTCCAGAGATTATGCGCGATGAGCCCTGCTCCCTTAAAGTAGACGTCTGGTAAGCCCTTTAGCATAGCTCTTTCTCGAGTGACAGTCTTATAATAGTTGAATAACCTTATGCTTTGTCAAAATGAAGTATCTATGAAGCAATGTTGGCATATTTTCCTAACCCTTACTAAAATGAACAGTTTCAATTTACATGTATCTTATAAAAGTGAATTAATGGTAAAAGGTAGCTTTTGGTATTCTAATCAGGGCTGGATATCCAAGCAGAGTAAGTTCTTTCATTATCATCGATTATTTGTGGGTTTCAGTACTACTCACATATAAACACACGATCGTTGGCTTCAAAATGAAGTGATCAATTCAATGAAGTAATTTGCTAATGATTCACAAATGCACATACAAATTGAAGTAATCATTAGATGCAATTTTTGTGACGTGTCGTCTTAAAACTACGGCTATTTTGACTCTAGGAAGGAGAGAAAAGACTTCCAGCTCGAACAGAGGTCTCTTCATTGGGATAAGTTCGTATGCATAAAACTAAATATCTTTTGAGCTATTGGTGTATGGTATGCCAATAATTGGGGAGTTACTATCCTTAGTGTTATTGGTCTTACTCATTCACGTGTGAACGAAGAAACAGCATCAAATCGATAATATACTGCATGAGAGATAAACCTCAGGAGCTTCACTCAAGGGCACCGAGTATATTCGAATCTGCTTTATGACAGTATGGAAAGCAAAGCTCTTTCAATTAATCGATGTGGAATAACACTTGGATGTTTTCAGAAGTTGTTTGAACTACAATCTAAATAATATTCAATACCAAGAAATAAATATTGCAAACTTTACTGTTATTTCAATTAAGGTCTTTCGGAGTTATTGTTTGGGAAATTATCACTTGTGAAATACCGTTCAACGGAGTTGACGTTGGCGCCATCATCTACGGAATCGCCAGCAATCGTTTCAGCCTCCCAATCCCAACTTCTTGTCCTACGGAATTTCGCGTTCTTATGAAGCGTTGCTGGTATTTTGCTCATCTCTTTAGTTTCAATTATATGGATTGTGGCGTGAAATCGCCACAAGTTAATATTTTTTATAGGGAAAAAGGAGAATATAGTAAATTATTTATTTATTTCAAATGGCAGGCGTTATGATAGGTATCATTAGCCCTTTGGTTGACTTCCCGTTATGATAGGTATCATTATCCCTTTAGTTGACTTCGGGGTTTTCAAAAATATATTTATTTATATCAAATGGCAGGCGTTCTGATAGGTATCATTAGCCCTTTAGTTGACTTCGTGCTTCAGAAGGTATCATTAGCCCTTTGGTTGACTTCGTGCTTCACAGAGAAGAGGAACACCAAAGTGACAAAAAGTCGAGAGGAGGACAGAATAATGATTCACAGACGTAAAAGAGACAGACAGACACAAAGGTAGAAAAAGGTGTGATGAGTACTGTGGAATTAGTCGAATATGAAATGCGGTGGGGTCTTGGTAATTTGAAATCAGAAGTCAACTGCCGATTAATAGACTTTTTTGCCGTACGAAGATACGTTGTCCAGGGTGCATCACGTGGAGGTAAGTCTATTGCACACCCCATATAGTAAATTATAATATGACAACAAAGTATAAAAGTAGAATTTACTAATTTGTCTATGAAAGCTAATTTGCATACAACTATGTAAGACTTGTATGGTTTCCCAATTCCGTTTTTGTCTAACGTGTTAAATGTTCTTATTAATTTTGTTTTCCAGATTTGTATTGCTACGCTTAGATGTTTGTAAGCCTACAAATTTTAAGTTTTTAACATTCGTTAAATTCAATCTGTTTGGTATCGTTTGTGACTAAGTAATTATCAAACCTAAGAGAGTTCCGTTTATATGTATACTTAGAGCGATTATTTCGTTCTTCTTCTGGCTATTAAATATTTAACAGTAGAATGGATATTTTGATCTTGGTGATATCATTGTCATAAATTTTAAGCTTTAATTTCCCAAGAATCTTACGCTTCAACTTTCACTGCCCACCAACAAATAACAGAGGCCTATTTCGATTTACTTCGTAATTCTCTTAGCCAAACTTAATTTATACCTCGTTATATATTTGGCTGTCAGAAATGAATCAGGACGTATTTGTGACCCGTAATTTGAATAAGCGAAACACAAGACAATTGATTTTGATGTATGACTAATTAGGGTTTTTTATCTTGTGATTCTCATTTCCATATTTCTAGATCAAGTTTACACTTTTATCGACAGATTGAAGTAACTTCAAATGCGATCTTGTTCTTATGGGGACATTTTCTCATTAGTTTTTTATTAATTATTTTTAATACTACACGTTAATACCTTTAATGATAGCTTACAGTACTCTTTTATTTAAGGTGTCCAAAGCCGCGTAATAGACCAAACTTTCCGCAAATCCTCTCTCAACTTGAATTGGCTTGTTCAGAGTTACTTCAATGGAGAGAGGATGATTTCTCAAATCATCGCACACTTTGGCAAGAGGAAATCCACCTTCAATTGATGGTTGGTATCGTTATTCTTCTGCTTTTTGACAATATCGATCTATTAAAACAGTTCTCTTCAACGAGTGTCCAAATTATAGTATTTTAAAACCCGTTTTTTGGATATTCGTTATCTTGCCATATTTTCTACATTTATGAATCAAAGATTTTATATTACATACTATGCCTTCAAGCCGCTTCTCACAGTAATGAAGGGTCGTATATAATAAAAGCTACTCGTGTTTAATCGGAAAATTACATCAAATTATTATAACTTAAAGTAAAAATAGCAAAAAATTATCTTCACTTACAAATGCATTTCTTGCACAGAAGGACTTTATCAATATATCTCTCTCCCCTTCTTGTGCACGGCATTTCTTATGCAAGCGATTTTTTGCATTCATATAGAAAGCATTAAAAGATTTTCGGTGCTTTTCAATCGAAAAGTTATATACTAATTTTTTTCTACTCCTATCTGTCTTAGGATTTGTTAAAAGAAGGTTCTAGAGCACCGAAACTGGAGCTTTCATTGATGCGTCGACGCAGACAAGAACTAAAAGACGCACAAACTATTCGTCAGAATTACGAAGAGAAGTTGCATCGGGTTAATCAACTTTGCAGTCATCTGAAAGCTCTTACAGAAGAACTCGAAAGGGAACAACGAAAAGTTAGCCAGTGTGTACCCTGCTTCCATTTCTCTTTTTCCCTTAATTGTGGGGCATGTGATTTCTTCAATCTTTTTTTTTATCATATTTCAGAGAAAGAAGTCGATACAAACTTTTAATGTACGAGAGAAGCCACTCTATAATCCCATTCGGCTTTGGAAGCTTCGCGAAAATGTCACACCCCCCAGACCCTCCAAGTAGATCTAGTCGTCAAGTGCAGTCGAGGAGCTCCCATCAAAGACGTCGAGATGACGAGGCGGTGAAGTTCACGTGCAGAAATTGTGGAACGGTGAATACTTTCTGTCATTCAACGGATAGGACAATAATAGGACAAAAAAATTTCGACGTGAGAAATGTCTCGTCTGGGCAGAATTCACGTTGGCTGAAGAAGTGGTGTGTGGCAACGAAATCAAAGTTAATTGAGAATGCTTTCCTTATGTAAGTATCTATCTTTCAATAATGGGATGAAGATGTCATATAAAAATTCTCGGGGACCTAATTCATCATTTCTTAATGGTGACAAAGCTTTCACCTCTAAGGCAAGAATGAAAATGTATTTATAACTGGAACACATAGAACTAGCCGACTTTATGGTTTTGACCTCCTGATTTTGAGGAAGAAATAAAGGAACTTGGTCTATGAAGTTTAAAATTTAATTCTGTTCTTAATTGGCTCAGATTGAAGCAGTATCAATACTGTGCTACTTTCGTCTTAATTGTCTGCAACATCTTAAAGGTTTTTTTAAATCCATATGAGTATTTCTATCATCATGTCACGATTGAGGATGACACTGAGGTGCTAATCATCTCTATCAGATCACAGAGTGGTTGCACTCAAAACTGAGAATTTGGGATTTTTTCTTTCTTGTCTGAAAATATTTGTGTATCAGTTTGATTACGCCTCGACTTCCTCTGAGATCGAGTGGATTTTTCAGCAGTACCAGATTGGTATGTGCAAAAGCTCTCTTTGTTTTAAATTATTTCTACAAAGGTTAGAAATATTTAAGAGCCACCTGAAAGCAAATAGTTAACTTTGAAAGGGCTGAGAGTCCTTCGAATTCGGGCTTTAATTCGGAAGGCAATTTCTTATTCCATTTCAGGAAAACGAGACTTCGAAGATTTGCTAGCGTTGGAGATATCCGTGAAGAATCAAAAGCTAAAGGGCCCGAAAAGTTATTCAAATCAGTAAATGTTCCAACAGAAGATGAACCTACTGCAATCGTTGGCCCCAAAATGCTATCTCAGGCCCGACCACTGGATTCGGAACTAGAGGAGCAAGCTGATGATGAAAAGTCTTGCGAAATTAGTCCGAGAGAAGAAAATACTAAAGATAGGGTTTGTAGTTAGTTTACTTTCACTTGGTGAAATTTTTTTTAAAACTCGGTGTAACAGTTTTTTTCCTAATATATAGAATCTGAACCGAATGGGGTATATATCAGCTTTGCGAGACGATATACACTGCTCTAAAGGGAAAGATTCATCCAGTCTAGAAGTTGAAAGCATGAGTCGAGAACAGAAGTTTATCTCCTTAGGAAATGGACAGAACTCACTATCATTAAAGAACTTACCATTGAGAATGTTCTTCGAGAATGCAGAAGAAACGGAGAATGGTAACATAGGGTTTCCTGAAGAATTTCAACGAGGTCACTCTGTTTCCTCATCGTATTCAACAGAAAGTGATGAAGGATTTAATGGTAGCAAAGCTACTGTCATCTTTAAGCATCTGAATTCTAGACCACAGTCGGGTGATACGTAAGTAAATTTGCTAAATTTTATTTAGTTTCGCTTCAAAACTTCGTTTGTTGATCTGCTTTTGTCATATGTTTATTCAATAGTCACGTGATTTTTGTACTGTCTAATTCAACAAGGCGATTCTAAATACTTATAATTCATCTAAGTTTATTGGATGTTTCCTTAATCTAATAAATTTAAGGAATTTAGCTAGGGATAGCTCATGAATTTCGAAATACTGTTGTTGCTTCGTTTCAACCAAGAACATTAACTGTACTTATTCATTGCTTAAGTTGTTTGTTTGTGGGACATGTCAGTGTTATGGAGTCTCATGCTTGCCCATATGGATGTTAGTAGGTGGACACCTTTAAGCCTGTTCCGAGGTCTTCACATGACATCGTAATCCAGAACAAAAGTTAGACCGAGGAAAATTAAGTAAAAGAAACGACTCAGAACTTTTTAGAACGCAGAAGGGTTTCTAAAATATTTAGCGGTTAGATGTTATGCTATAGATTTCCAAGTCTTGATTATGTAATCATTTTATACTAGTTTGTTTATTTAAAATTGTGCTTTGTTGAATTTATTGTTTTAGCAGTCAGTTGTTTCTATAAGCTTCGTTCAATTTGATTATTTGATGTTGTTATTTATGGAAAGAGCCGTTCTGCGTTTTCACGAATCACTTAAAAATACGTTAGCAAATATTGCTTAATCAGACCGATCTTTTTCTAAAATCTGTGATGGGGAATAAAGAAGCAAGAAAATTTTACCTCTTCTAAATCAACCTGTGTGCCACGATGAGTTTAAATTTACATATTACAGCTGCCGTACTCGACCCCCTAAGGTACCTTTGCCCTCCCGTGGAGTTTCCAGCGATCGTCTACAAGAACGAAGGGTGTCTCGACTAAATGAAAAAAATGATGATCTACCACCCTGTCTGCCTTCTGCATCAGGTCCCACTTTGAGTATCTCTCATCGGTCCTCTCCACGTCTACGTCAGCAGCCAGGTCGACGCCTTCGACGCACACCACAATCGTCACTTCCTGCTGAAGATCCTTTCCTGTCTCCACCTACAAACAACAATATCCCATCGTCAGTCAATACTTCTCAATCTCACGCTCTTGACATATCTCTCAACTCGTCATCCATATCAACCTCACCTAGTTTAACAAAAAGTCAAATGAGGCGGGTTAGCTCAATGAACTTCTTTGAACAATCAGATGTTAAATCATCGTCTTATAATATATGCTTTCTATTTTAGAGCATCGAAAAATTGACAATGGAGCTGACAGATCATATTGCTGATAGTCTTTCTGAGAAAGAGCGACGGGTAGATGTCATTGAGCAACAAATATTGAGAGCGGCTTGTGATAGACATCGCTGCCTTCCAGTTCACAGTATAGCTATCGTTACCCACGACAAAAGAACTAGTGACACTTCAAATGATAGCTACGTTGATAGTTATCAATATGGAGCTGATAAACCTTGGCTCAGCGCTGTCGATTTAAGCTCAAAGATTAATGATCTCTCCATTGATACCTCAAGCATACTAGATGTAAGTATAATGCCTAAATATTCTGCTCCATAACTTAAAAGCCCACTGAATGAAACGTTTTTATTTAATTTTAGACCGCGTCAATAGCTACAGATACAGATGCACAACTACTTTGATTTATATAAACTAACTAGTAAACATTCTTCTAGTCATTTCATAAATGTTACTCCTCATTTGTATGATCACCTGTAGTATGTTTTCATTACTTCATTCCCTTATGACATTTTGCTCAAACTAGCCAAGCATAGGTGTGTGAGTAGATCATTCGCATTGTAAAAATAACTTCCAGATTGGCATTCAATTGTAATTAATTGTGTGATAGACAAGAATTTCCTTACCGGGACAATTTCGTCTGGCAGGAATGGATATCATTATGCGCCATATAAGTGAACACTAAGAAAATTATTGTCAGAGCTTTGAATTGCTGAATGCTTCTTAAATGTTTAAAAAAGGTACATTGGTGCAAGAACTTAGGTCGTTCATGAAAATCGAGGCAATGTCAATATAAATCTGTTTGTCACTTTTAAGGAATCTGAAACCCGTTCCTAAAATTGTGATAGAATAACTGCAGAACAAATTTGAACCTACACTTGAAATGAATTCTAAAATAAGTAAGAGGCTGAAGTTATTAGATTAATTTCGAAATTGGCCATTGCTAAATAGAGAGCATAAAAAGCGACAGTATCGATAAGCGAATTGATTTGAAATCATTTTCAACTAGGATTATATATCACAAATGCAATGAAACGGCGCTGCTCGGCCTTTTAGGGAGCAGAAAATAGAACTCTTGAAGATACTATATGCACTTTTACTTACTATATGAAAAAATATATATGATAATACGTTATAGTCTTATTTCGGTACTCAATCAAGGTATATTCAATATCATAAATTCAAAATGCAATTATTATTCATCGAAATTTTGTTGGTTTTGTTAAAATATTCTGGGAGTATCGCGTGTTTTTGACTGATAAAATACTGAATTCTCTAGTGATTCTACTAGGCACCGTTTAGGTTCCTAATTCTTTAGCATGCTTATTTTTAAATGTTGGGGTTCTCTTTGTATTTGATCGCGGAATGTTTTTTCTTTGATTATTTGTTAAAACCGACTTAACTCAAAATTTCTCGATTGCAATTACACGTAGTGACATTCTTGTTTCTCTTAGAACATTATTATTATGTATTTATAGACGTGCTTTATTTGTTTAGCGGATGTCTGAAGAGACGTGGATATTGCAGAAGTGTCGTATGCCGAAGAGTTACGGTACCCTTTGCGAAAATCCCACGAACGCTTCTAATTATCCTTTTATCAAGTACATTGTGCAGCCCAATGATACTCTCACCTCAATCGCAGTTAAAAATGACATATCTGTGGGTGGTTTTGATTTGTTTATTTTCTTTTACATTTTGAAAATATGATCGTGCGACACTGGACCCAGGTTTAGTGCTGTTTGGACAGTTGGAAATATTAGCTTTTTTGAATTTCTGCTACCCAGAATTTTTGTGCCTTATAATTATTGTGGCCAGCATTGTTTTTGGGAAGCAAATATCTTTAGGACTGGGTAAGGAGATGTAGCTCTTAGGACCTATAAGGTGTGTTCATTGGTTCAGTTGGCTTTAGAAATTGTATGTGCTCATACAATTTTATGCGTGTTACTTTAGTATTTGGATTTTATCTTAAGACGGGTTGTTTTTATTTATCTTCCAAGTATTCAAGATGTTTTCCTTTTGGGCGATTTCGTTTCTTATTCACATACAAAGTTTGACCTTGTTTCGTGAACCTACTTTTTAAATAAATGGAGAAAAAATGAACTATTATTTCGAAATACTTGCATTTGGTTGTTATCGAATTGTTATGATAATACGCTCTTTAATTTTATTTTACATCTTTTTATGTTTTCAGGTTGGTCAGCTAAAGCATTTTAATCGGATTCTGCTCTCTGGAGACAAACTCATAGTCGCTGGATCCGTTCTGCGCATCCCTCTTTCTTTTAATAAGTTAGTCTTAAGCGTTTTTTGTATCTTATTTCAGCGTTTTAAATCATAGAGATAAGTTCATTTTGCAATACACTTCATCAAATAGCAATCAAGAGCAAACTCCCTCTTCCTCAGATGTTGATAGTGATGAGCGCCAACGCCAGCTGATGATTGATCCACTTGTCGATACGGTTACTTCCGCTTCCCAATCATTTCATTTAGACCGATCCTCAGATCACCTCCCAGAAAGGCTATGATTTTATTCCCCAATTGAATGTTTGTGTTGTTGGCTAATGTATTGTTCTTTTGTATGATATTTATTTCTTTTTTCATGTTAATATGATGCATATTGTTGAGTTTAGTTTAATTTCAGCGCTCGTTCAGTGTGTTACTATAATAAGAGAGTGCGAGTAGGTCCATATTTAACGTTATAAATTGAATTTATGTTCAATCAAAGTAAAGCTAGCATATTCTTTTTCATTTGTGTTGAGCGAATCGAGTTTGATCAAGGGAAATCGTTCATACACTAAACAATTGTGGACCTTTTATTGAGTTTTAATTAGCCTTTTGCTGCGTTTCACCTCCGGTTGGTCAACCTGTATCGTAGGTCAAGATATGACTCGAAAACTTGAAGGATCAATAAAGACTGGGGGTCAGCTATGCTTGACCCGTAGCCTGTCATCTAATCGTCGATCCCGGAACTATTCGTGGACGAAATTATCATAACAACAATTTGTTGTGTGCGAAATCCATTGATATATCTCTCTTTAAGTTTTTGAAAGTGCCATGATTATGCATAATCTAAATCTCCGTCGCAGATTGTTCAAGGAAGTCCTTTTATTTAGTAATCAAATAATTGTGGAGGGCGCTCCCCTCCCTCCCCCCCCCCCCCCCCCCCCCCCCCTCCAACTAAAAGGCTCTTGTATCTTACTTGATTAGACGAATTTAAGCAATAACTATTGGTTTCACTGATTTTGGTTTCAATTGGATTAGCACTGCCTATATTTGATTCGTATCGCGTATACTTGTTCGAAAATTAGTACTACGGGAAAGCTTAGAAGAACCATTGCACTTAAACAGTATAATCAGTCCATTAATGGATTGAATTTCAAAATCCAATTGGCAAAAAGCAATAAATTATGTTTATAATCCGTTGCATTTTTTATATTTGCATAGGTGTGCCGTGCTAAGAGAGTATATATCTTAGAAAGATAGCAATATAATAAAATAAATAAAAATTTAATTTTTTGAATAATATCTTACATTATGGCAAGCAAAACAATATCGGAGACAATCGGAAAATATTGTTGATGGTTGATAATTAACCTTGAATAACAATTTGCTACATGGCTCTAGGTCCGCCTTTGTAAATATGCAAACGTCAGAGGTATATTGTGTTATTAAGCTTTAGCATTTCTTTACTTTCACTGCTTCGTAAACTTCACGACACTTATCACTAAGTAACCGACTATCATTTTAATTGCAATAATTTTATATTTTGTCGTTCCAAACGCTTTCTCTTATATTTAAGTTGTGTCTAGTTTTTATCAATATAGTTTTTGATTGATTTTTAGATGTATGCCGAAAGCAATGGATTTCAGTCTCCTGTAATGAATCCTATATCAAATGACTACGAGATTGGCATGGATCCCGCATCATGTATAATTTTCAGCTCGGATTATCAAAAGTAAACGGAAGTTGCTTTATTGACTAATTTTTAATTTGTATAAGAGTTTTAATTTACTATGCACATCTATAGAAACGATGAGATCGTTAAAATGTTGGATAGCTCCAAAGAAAATCTAAAACTATTAGCGATGCGTCGAATTATTTCTGTAAGCCATTCCATCCTAATGATTTTGATTTAATTGCTATTTAAACAAAATTTATTACCAATTTTAAGATGGTCGCCAGGGGTAAGGAATGCTCTGATCTATTTGCAGCTGTCGTTAAAAATGTCGTTTCCAAAGATCCCGAGGTGAGATTCGATTTAATGCATATTTTTGTATAATCAAATACGAATCGAATTAATTGTCTCCCTCTCCCTTTTACCTAGATTAAAAAGTTAGTATATGCGTATCTCGTTCGCTACGCCGAGGAACAGCAAGATCTTGCTCTGCTTTCAATTTCGACATTTCAAAGATCCCTGAAGGTCCGATTTTGCGTTTATATTGTTATTGTCCATAGGTGTGAAGAACGTAATTTTGAATCGTTTGTCTATTTGAAGGATGCAAATCAATTGATTAGGGCTTCCGCTTTGAGAGTTCTTTCTTCAATTCGAATCCCTGTTATTGCGCCAATTTTAATGCTGGCTGTTCGTGATGGTTCGGTTGATCTGTCGCCTTACGTCCGAAAAACAGTCGCCCATGCTATTCCCAAACTCTACAGGTTCGTTAACTCTTGTGGTAAAGAATAGAGTTCATTACTACTTTTCTCTACTCCTATTAACTATACCACTTTGAGTATTCATTGTTATTAACCGTGTGTGTGTGTGTATGTGTGTGCAAGCCAATCCATGCGCTAATCAAATTTTTGATACATTTACCGGTTACTTTTTGATAAGACCCCTTACCTTTTAATTTCGTATTTTTTTAAATCCTCGCATTTGTTTACTATTTGCTTAAGTTATTCTATTTTAGTTTGGAGCCAGATGAGAAGGAGTCCCTGATTGAAATAATTGGTAAATTATTGGAGGATAAATCCACGGCTGTGGCAGGATCTGCTGTACAAGCATTCGAGGAGATTTGCTCTGAACGCCTTGACCTAATCCACAAGTGAGTTGTCCGTTTGTGCTTTCTCTGATTCCTACCATCTTTCGAATAGAAATATTATTCCATTTTAAGTCACGTTTTGACTTACTTGTGCTTAACATTAGTAACTTTCTTGCATACATTCCTTCGTAATAACAGCATCACTTATTAACTCTTATGCACTTTTACTGTGGTTTTTTATTCAATTCTATTGTTTTTTTACTTAATATGAATTTGTTTTTGATCTGAGATAATGTAATATGTTGGATTAAATTACTCCTCATTTTTAATTAAAGGGTCATGAAATATTCTTTTCAAATTGTGCTTATCATATCTCTTTTTTATAATACTGCACCAATTTATGATGCTTTTAATACCAATTGTCCAGGCGAGTGCCTTAGGCTTTGGAAGGAAATGTCTTTACAATGTTATTACAAAATCGTTCAACCCTGCAACTCTTGTCAATTCCTGAGCTGGGTTTGACTCAATAGTGGCCAATTAACCTTTGCACTTTGGTAATATTTAATTCGTTATTTTTATTTTGTTATGAAGTCTACTGGGTGTCTTGCATTTGAAAATTGGTTGAATCTGAAGAATTTGGGGTCTCTTGTTGACTGGGTATCAAAATTCATCCCCAATGTTTTAACGTTTTTTCGTACCATTTTTGCCACTTTTTGAAATTTTCTATCCATAGGTTTTTGAGGTGCCGTTTCATTGTGAACTCTCGCAATAATCTGCTGGACTGCCCACAATCAACTAAGGAGTGTAAATCGCACTCCTTTAGGCGAAGTCTTAATCAATTATATGGTTTTAAACATCCGGAATATATTTAATTATTTAAGTCGACTAACTTCATATTTCAGTGATCTCTTCTCTAATATCGGTTCATAAATCTGTTTTCGAATGAAAATAAAATAAATTTTGACACAAAAATAACGGGAATGGTTATGATGCCTAAAATGCATGTGGATTTTTAACGACTATGTCTATAGCACTTTGACTTCCATGCTCAATTTCTTTTATTCGCTTCTTTTGCTTAGGCACTATCGAAAACTCTGCAGTCTGCTGATGGATGTGGACGAATGGGGTCAGATTGCCATAATCAATATGCTAACCAGATACGCCAGGACCCAATTTCCTGATCCGAAGACCTTTATGGTTAGTATGGCTCTGTTGTTCCCATTACACTTTCCAATTATGGAATATTAGTTCATTTAAGGTTCCTTGAAATGGTTTTTCTTATGTAGATTAATGTTTTATTTAATTTTTTGTTCTATGGCGTATTAAAGTCGCCTATCACTAGTTCCTTTGACTGTGTTCCCTATTTGTACCTTAACATCATGTAAAATTAGAGTAGTTTGGTGTCATTAATTTCTAATTAAGGAGAATATGGTATCTTGATGAGCTTATGAATTCTGCATTAAATGCAGTTATGGGGATGATAATAATAACGATTAGTAATACAGCGAAAGTTATGTGTAGAAATTTTTTTACATTCATATTTGAAAGTGGGAAGGAATATTCTGCCAACTCTTCGATAAATGTATTAGTGAAATCGAAAAGAACCCACAGATTTCGTCTATAGTGCTACTATTTTGCTAACCCTGGATCAAGCTGTCACGCTTTCTCTCCTCATATCAATGAATTATTTTCGGGCATGCAAGCTTTTTTCCTTCTTTCTCGAAAATTGAAGGTTACTAATGCGGCGACTGAACATAATAAGTAAGGAACTTGCTTTCTATCACTCTTCATTTGATTAACATCGGTTAACCATTTTCGTAACAGACTAGATCCACAGGTTCCGATTATTAGAACACAGAATCCGAACTTCTAAATTAATTAGAAGGTGTACCTAGGGACAAATATTTAATTGGAATTAAGGCAAATCGCTGCATTCATACATTTATTTACGTAAGATTTTCTGTTTTATTATTTTCCAGACGTCATCTATGGATGACGCCACCACTGGTGGTAGTAGTAGTAGTAAGTCCAATGAAATCCAAAAGTTCACGAAACTCAACGATAGTGGTAAAGGGAACGAAACTGAAGAGGACACAGATGAAGAGGACAATTCCTTGGAAGAAATGAATGCAGTGAACGGCATCAGTAATCGTGAACACGCAGAGTTGCTTCGATCCGACTACCGACTTCTTATTACTAGTTGTCGACTTCTTTTACTTAGTCATAACGCTGCTGTAAGTCCACTTGCGGGCTCTATCTGTAAAGATGTTACTTGTATAAGCCTCCTACTTCGCATTTAGGTTGTTTTAGCTGTAGCTCAGCTCTTCTACCATTGTGCGTCAAAAGAAGAAATGCCTACCGTTGTACGAGCTCTGATGCGCATTATGAAGACATCGAGGCGAGTCAATTAACCATAGCACCCTTCATTTTCTACTATTAGCTTGAATTTTCCTTATGAACGTTTTCATCTCTTACAGAGAAATCGAATATGTAGTACTCTCAAATGTTACTTCAATGAGTCTTATACACCCAGCACTTTTTGAACCCTACATCCGCATGTTCTTCGTGTTCAACTCCGATCCTACTCATGTTAAAATGCTCAAACTGGAAGTTCTTACCAACCTTGTCAATACAGCAACAAGCCCCATTATTCTCCGTGAATTCCAAGTCAGTCGGTTTTATCGATTAGTATAAAAATTATTCCGTTCGCTTCCACCATTTATTATGCTTCAAAATTTGCGACCTTTTGCCATCCTTTAAAGATTGAAAGTGATCATTTTCCGTCAGATTTTTACCTTACTTTCTAAATGATCAGTTTGCTTCATCTACTTTTCAATGTTAAGCATTGCCACATTCACTAAAACCAATTGGGATATATTGGACTCAGTATGAGTTTTAGCTGTCATTGTTTACAAAACCATAAACAATGACTACAGCACTCTCACCTGGACCAAATCACAAACAAAACTTCTGACACTTTGTTTGTTCGCATATTTTTGTTCCAAACAAGATATGTTTTTTTCAGCAGTGAAGGTACTGATAATATATTCCGAATTCTCAAATTGAAAGCGTTACCTACCTTTTACTTTCATTGTTACAGCTAATGTTGTATGCAAAACGGATCTGAAACGTTTGAGCCTATGTGTTATGTACATATTTTATTCATTTGAAGAAGTATAAACTATTGAATGCTCCGAATCCTGCACACTTTAGAGGTTCCTTTTCTCTCCATATTTAGCCTTATTCGCTTTAATTAAACTAAAATTGATATTCCGCTTTTTTTATTTAAATATTGGCTTTTGAATAAAATTGCTCACATGTTTAAGAACGTCATGTAGAACCCCACAGAAATTTCATTTCTAATTATTGTAACCACAAGTTTGTAACTGCATGCATTTGAGGTAAGAGTACTTTCGAGAAGTATTTCACTCCAAAACAAATTTGTTTTGGGAACACAATAGTTTGGAGTACCTTTTTATTGAATTAGACTTTTCAACTTCTTGCTGAAAATGTTTGTGAAATCTCTAAATCACTCGTAATATTTGCGTTGACTTTAGAAATATTTTTGTAAAGCACTTTTCTTGTTAAATATGCGATGGTGTCATTGTGATTAATGTTTTTCTTGAAAGCAATGAAAGTTTAAGGTAAGAATTTATTTCCAATCTACCCTTTTCCTTCAGGATGAAATCTTAAAACTGTCTAATCATTCTTTGAGAACGATATCTTAGCAACGACCGGGGTTGATCTCAGATTTGACTTTCAGGCATATGTAGATTCATCCGATCAGGAATTTGTGCTTGCAGCGATTCAGTCCATCGGTCGTTGCGCCAGTATGGTTCCACAAATTTCTGAAACCTGTCTTCGAGGTTTGCTGCGCCTAATGTCTCGCAAAAATGGTCTGTTTCTAATCAACTTTATAGCTGAAACATTTCAGATCATATTGAATTTTTGCTTTTATTTTCTTCAGAGAGCCTTGTTGGCGAAAGCGTTGTAGTGATGCGAAAACTACTTCAGATGCAAGTGAGTTCTCTGTGCATAATCCTAATTATTTTTATTATCCAAACCACTTTCTTTTGGATATTGTTATCAGCTTAGTAGCCAAAAGGGTAAATCCATTGTCAGTTTGGTAATCTTCCCTCCTTTATGCTTCTAGGTTTACATTTTTATTTCTGGTTTCTACTCTGGAAAAAATAATACTTTGCTGGTCTCTGTGCAAACGATTTTCAACTCTTCTGAAATTATGTTGCTCCTTTCTTGTAGACTACAGATCACAAGGACATAATTCTACACTTGGCACAAATGGTGGAGGAAATCAGCATTCCCTCTGCAAGGGCGTCTATCCTTTGGCTTTTAGGCGAGTATGGGCACCGAGTTCCCAAAATTGCTCCGGATGTGCTCAGAAAGATGGCGAAAACGTTCTCCAAGGAACACATATCTGTAAAGATTCAAGTGGGTCTTCCTTCAGCTATCAACTTCAACCTGATTTTGTTTGCCTCTCAGTTGAAGATTATTTCCTTTACAGGTTCTGAATCTCGCAGCTAAGCTGTGCATTGTTAATCCAAAGCAGTCCCTTCTTTTAGCGCAATACGTTTTCACTCTTGCGAAGTATGATCAAAACTATGATATCCGAGATAGATCTCGAATGTTCAGGGCCCTCATATTCCCTAAAAATGCTGATTCCTCAGTTAGTCACAATTTTTTTCATTATTCAATATGTTCCTTGTTAATACTTTTAACATCTTGTGTTTCGCAGAATCCTGATGCAATTTTTTTGGCTAAAAACGTAAAGAAAATTCTTTTGGCTACAAAACCAGCTCCTGTGCTAAGATCAACTTTTGCTGGTAAGATATGTGGCATTTATTACTATTCACTGGACAGTTTTCTCGCTCGTATATTCTTGTATGCATCGTCTTACATTAGAGAGTACTCTTTTAAACTGAAACCAAAAAAAAACTTAAAATGCAGAAAATAACCTGCTAGTATATCTATTCTAAGTCTTTTGAAAACATATATCGGCAAGCGTCACTATCATGAAAAGGCTTGAAATGGAAATATAACCATGTCTGAATCTTCTTGCGTGCAGCAATATTCAAACCTGATGTCAAGTCATCATCAAAAGTTAAATGATTTATTGCCAATAGTTTGAGCACTGTGATTGGGACGTTTATTGATTTGCTTTAGTTGTTCTTAGTATACGAACGCATTATCTGCTGATGCCATTTATCATTTAAGATCGGCCCCCATTCCGAGTTGGTACGATGTCCCAATTACTGGGTCGTGAGATTACCAATTACGTAGAGTTGTCCGAATGGCCAGAGCTTCCGCCAGATCCTACCAGCCGCCAAGTCGTCACCTTCCCAGTTGGCTCCTACTCGACTTCTAACTACTCAACTGAAGGAAGAAGTTTCTCCATCAGTGAACAGGAGACTGAAGATGAAACTGAGGAATCCTCTACAGAAGTCGAAAATTCAAGCACCGATGAGGAAGAAAGTGAAGAAGACGTAAGCTCTGAGGAGGACGGGCAAGAATGGGTGTGTCTTATAGAAATATTAAATTGCCGCCGATGAAATGAATTATAAGGTTGCGTACTTTGCCTTCATGATTTACTAGACAGTGGTTGATAACTTGGCGGTGTTAACATTCAATACGTATCTCCATACCTTATATCGTGATTGTTAAAATTAAGCTCGTAATATAATGTCATTAGTATATAATTATATCAGTATTGTTGATCATCTATTGCCAAGTGAGTTAATACTATTGTTACAGTTGTTTAGATCCAGTCTATAAATAGGAAGGAAGTTGGAAGTCTTGTAAGTTAAAGGTAGTGCTTTTCTTATGGAAAAATAACAATAGCTTATATTAATTATTATATGTGGGAACGATCTGTTCTATTATTTTTCCATAAACCTGTGGATGAGAAACAAATTTTGTGAAGAGTCTTTAAGTAGTAGTTCTTATCGGCTTCCTAATTTTTTTTTGGTTAAGTCCAATACGGCCTGAACTTTAAGCCACTCGTTTATTATCTCTTGTATGAGTGCAAATGCACCAAAATTTGCACTAAATTTAACTTTATTTGTAATTTAGGATGAGGATGAAGGGATCACTGGCAAAGTAAAAATGGACAAGAACGGGGTTTCTAGTCATCAACGTAGCGCTTCTCAAACAAAGTCTGATTTTGACACCAGATCTTCTGAAGAAGGCTCTCATAGTCCTCTTCGCATAGTTTCATCGGAATCATCATTGGAAACAGAGGACGATGACGTTGTGAGTGAGGATGAAGGTGCCAAAGGGGTAATTCTTAGCTATGAATTCATGTATACACATTACTTATACTCTAATTTTAGCAATGGGCACTTTCTTCCCTTTAGCCTCCTGTGTCAATGGAGAAAAAGAAGGAAAATGGGATGCCTGTAGATTTACTTCTTTTAGATTTAGATAGTGAGTTCTATTTTAGTAGTTTTTTTTCAAAAATATTGCTTTTGCCGTTCATAATCACTTTGCCTAATTTTGGTTCAATTTGCCCTTTAATAATTTCTCCCCAGAGAGTTTCCGAATCATTACGCCATATCCATAGGTCAAAGCACCTCATTTGGTATTATTAGTGAGAGAGAGAGAGAGACATAGAATCAGACCAAATAAGAAGAGTCACATATGAGATCTATGAAGTAAGAGCCTCTTTGCACTACCGCTTGGATATATGCCATAATGTGGGCCAAACAAGATATTTTTATGCTGCATTTGGCTAAGGCTCAGAAACAATGCTAAAGCTGAATTTAGTCAAGGGTATTTTGTTAACCAAGTAAAGGCATTCAAATGAAATACTAATGGTCTTCATGTTATCGATGCCCAAAGATCACAACTTAACATACTTGGCATTTTTTGTCCCTTTATTTGTCAAGATGTCAGGTGCGCCATGTGCCCTCTTTTTGAAAAGAGTTATAGGCGAATTTGAGCCAACCCGCAAAAATCGCTCATCCTGAAACTATGCCTAAGCACCGTAGCCCTTGCTTTTGTTTTTTTTTCAGCTTTTTTTTCCAAGGCTGGTTCCTTTTGCACAATTTTAATTAAACGGCTACTCAGTAAGCTGCCAAGATTAAGGTACCTATGTTTTCGCATAGTCCCAGAGATTACTTTGGAGTCAATAATTATTCATCTGGAGATACACAAGGGACTGTTTGGACAATGTCCCATCCGTCATTTTCATTTATTTGATCAAAACAGGCCGATCAGGTCTTCTGCTAGAACGGTATTCTTTCGTTAAGTGCGACAATTTCTAAATACTTGTGGAAATTTCTAACTAGCTTATCCGTGGGACCGTTTATCTAATATGTTATCTTATACTTTGAAAATCATAAAAGACTGTTACTTTAATAACCGACTTTCCATCAAAACTACCTCATACACTTTGGCGTTGTTAAGTCTCTGAGAAATTATTCATGTTCTTGTTCTTTTTGTTGAAGTTCCGTCTGTCCCGTCTATGGAAAGTGCAATGAGTGCTTTGGCAGACCCACTTATCCCTACTCCTGTCGCCACTTCCATTGCTCCCCAAGAATCCGCTCTACCGTCCGGTGAATCCAAAATTGAGGTATGCCTAAGTCATATTTTTTGTAAGGAAAATCAGTGTGTGATCATGAATTTCTACTCAGACATTTGCTAAGTAAATTATGCTTAACTTCTCTAGTTGTTCTTAAGTGTGAATTATTAAGTGTTATAAGCAGTGCGAGGTAGAAGTTATCTTTCAAAGACCTGTTCCTAGTTGTTCCATACCTAAAACCTCATGTACATTAACACCTTTATCTCAGACGTGGCTATACTTGAGCATCATAGTCTTCCAGGAACATTGGGAAACATTTTTCTAAATGCTAAAATTGCGCTTTATAGAATTAGCCATTTTGCTACCAATTTAGCATTTGCTTTACCCGTTTTCATTACGCTTGTAGCTTAAAATTCCAGCTTATGAGATTGCCTCTCCGGAATGGTTTTACATAACTTCGGCCTATGCAGAACCTCTTTTAGTGGAAGGTCGTTTCATTCGAACAGCGAGTGTTCCCCCAAGTTCTCACTTACGGACAGATGTGGAACTCCGACTCACCAATCGTAGTGTTGCACCCGCCGTGCGTCTTCTCCGTCTTCGCACGGATGAAACGTCGTTTAATAAGGGATCAGGAACTTTCAAGTCAGTTCATTGTGTGGAGTCTTTCGGAGAAGTCGGTAAATCTTCCTTATTTAACCCATTGAAAAATAAGTTGCCATAATTTTTTATGATTGTACTCTTATTTTTAATTTGTTAGTTCTCATCCAGAGAATGGAGCAAGTATTCCTTCCTTCACGTCTCTAGTTATAGTCTCTTATTCGTCTTGTAAAAATCACTGCTAATTATATTTAGTCCAAGCCTCAATACCATCTTAGCTTGCAAAACTAGTTGATTTAGGCATTGAGAAATAGTTTGTATGTCCATGTTAGCAATTATCATTTTAGTCATTTTATTGCATTTCAATTTGCGCTCACCTACTTTTCCCAGCCCTTTCTAACTGCAGAATTGGTTCTATTACATTTTAGTAAGTAGTTTGTTGCTGTTTTATGGCGTTGTACTTCCTTATACTATAGAAAGAGTACTTGGCTACATACTGTTATGCAATTTGTTGCAGATTTATTACACTGGAGGATTATATGCTGTGTCTTAAAGTAACTCATGTTCACGGAAAAACTATTGTAAAAACTGCGATTTATTACTTTTCCTTACCATCTCATTCTTTACCGTTATGTGCTTCGACCCCACTGCCTGACTCTTGGACAAACTGACTCCACTTTAACCTTTTTTTAGACTGATCAACACTTTTATTCAGCACTTTATTTGGATTTCGGTTTTTTGTTTTGTTTGTCAGCCGCACTTGATGTGGGTTCCAGCACTAACGTATTTCTGGGAATTAATTTCTGCAATTCTACACAACCTCTCTGTCTTAACCTTCGCTATCAAGTCGAAGCCTTGGATGGCAATAGCGGTTTTGAGAGCCAAAAAGTGGAAGCCCAAGATGAAGTGTACCGCAAGAAACCCCCTCTTCATGAAGAAGCTATAACCCTAGAGATTAGGCCAACCGTTGGTGAGCTCTTCCAACCCCTTAATATATCACCTAATGAATTCGTCATTAAACAAGGTAGGAAATCATCCCCGTTTAAATCACTTAGTTCATTTAAGCCGACTATAATTTGAGTCTGTTATAATTTAGCCTCTCTTCGAGGAATGCATGAGACGAACAAATTATTTATCATCCCATCTGGGGACAATTCCAAATTTATACTTACGTCAATAAAGCAAATACTGAAACGGGCAAATCTTGCTCTAATTGGTGCCTTTAAGCGCTCCGATTCTACTCATTTGCGATTTGCCGGTGTTACTACTGCTGATAACACTTGCTGCCTTGTTGAAGTAACCGCCAAACTCGACAGCAATGAAGGCAATCTCCGAGTGAATACTGAAGCCGTTGCTCTGGGCATCCAGTTAGCTGAGGACTTGTTAGTCTACCTTGCAGGGAAAATTGAAATTTAAGCTTTGTTCATTAAATTTATTGATGTTACATTTATTCTTACCATTACTATTGTGTCCCTATTCTTGTCTGTCTGTTCACGTTTGTTACTGCAAACATTGTCCATCTCTTTGCATTCCTTCTTTGCTTCCCTTCTGCGAAAAGCACTCCAGCTTTCTGTGATCCGTTTTTAATAATATTGATTTATGACTTACTATCGTTGTGTATTTCACCATTAACCCTATAGTATAGAGGTATGTGAAATTTTTTAATGATATGTAGGATAATTTCTTTGTTGAATCTTGAAACAATTGCTTGTTGTAAACATTTAATAGGCTTCGTTTTTGAATAGGTTAAATATGTATGTGGTTAAATCTCATATTTTGATTAGCGATAATGAAAAATGTATTTTCGCACATGAATAACTAGCCATTTAACGACCTAGGAATTAGTGGATTTCGTAAATCCAAAACCATTTGCCTCATCCTATTTCTCTACTAGAAAGAAGGGTTGAAAAGACATTCTCAAAAGTGCTTGGGAGCTAACAGTCCATTCTTTTGAGAGGGTATCGTTCTTGAATGATTAATTACAGTTTTAATAAGTGGGCAAGATTGCCATATCTGATATGATGAAGGACGGTCACACCAACAGTGCGCAAAATAATAAAAAATTGAGTATTTAGATTTGAGTTCCTCTGGATTATACTACAAAATCTTGCAATTTTATTGCTATTATAGTGGGGTTAGTGGCAGTCATTCGGCAAAATCTAAATGACTTAGGAATGGATTTGAATCTAAATCAATATCATTAAGAGACTGCTTGAAAGCTTTCAGTTGAATAAACCTTTTTAAAATAAAAACCATGTCTTATACAAATTTCCGCTCGAAAAGCAGATGCTTTATCTTACCAGTAATATTGAGTGCCTTAGGCGTTACTTGTACGCTTTAATTATTTTGAGAATGTGTATGTTCAACCAATTTGAAGTTTATTAAATTTTAATCTTTTTCCCCCATGTTTCCCTAAGTCGCTTGATAAACATCAGTGTGTTGTTTAAGTCAAATAACTAACTTATGACAGAGAGGGAAGCCTATGTAGTCGTTTTGTAGCGGATCGATACGCAAGTAAAGCCTGACCTGGTTAAAGACTTGTAGCGGATTGCTACCTTAGTAAAGCCAGACCGGTTGAGAATTGTAACGGATTGCTACCTTAGTAAAGCCTGACCGGATTGCATTGTAGCGGATTGCTACGCTAGTAAAGCCTGACCGAAATCTCTATGGCAGATTCTCCAACACCTAGCTAGACTCCCAGAACAGCTAAGCTATAGCTCCTCTATGGCAGATTCTCCAACATCTAGCTAGACTCCCAGAGCAGCTAAGCTATAGCCCAGCTATAAAGGAAACAGACGTGTTGCTATAGCCCAGCTATAAAGGAAACAGACGTGTAGCACGGGGCGCCCAGCTATAAAGGAAACAGACGTGTAGCACGGAGTACGCAAAGGAAACAGACGTGTAGCACGGAGCACGCTAAAGGAAACAGACGTGCAGCACGGAGCACGTTTATTCAGAAGGGAAACAGACGTGTAGCACGGAGCACGTTTATTCGGTACGTATATTGATACCAAAGTGTGGTTTTTTGGCAAAGCGATTAGTTATCAGATATATCTAGCATAATTCACGTGAACATTAATAGCTAAATATCTCTGAGTAAGCAGGATTTCTACTGGTCATTGAAGAAGTGTTCCACACTTAAGTCGGACTTTCGATACAAACAGTAATTGAGAATAGATTAGATTAAACGTTCAGTTTTCTTTTACTTCCCGCAACCACCGATCCATTCTAGAGAACTAAGCAATGTGAAGTAGTTCCATGTTCGTTCTAACAAAATAAATCATGAAATTGAACATTATTTTGTGGAAAACTGTCATGGCAATAGAAATTTACTACACATCTTCTGAATTAGATTGATTTCGAAAATCTTTAAATTACTATGTATCCTCAGTGGGAAATTCTATTTAATGCTTCACGAATTGGTTAGGCATTTTTAGTAATAAATTCTTTGAAATTAGAAATACCAAAACTCCCATGATAATGAAAATTTATATAAAAATAAGCAGCAAATGATAAACGTCCTTATATAATATTACTATGAAATGAACTATCTGCTTACATTCAATTACAATATAGAAATATTACAAACGGATCATATAAAACATTTCTAGAATATCAACTAAATATATTGAATTAAATTATTTCTGCCACATAGAGAAAATATAACATTTACCAAATTTTCTTAATATTTCCATGAGTTTGTTTCTCCTAATGCACATTGCAGTGTTATAACGCTCTTGGGAAGTCTACCATTTCGAAGTAGTGTGTTATGCTATGTTTGTTAATTGACGTATTTTGTTTTTTGGCCTGACGAATTACTGGTGATAGAAATATATTCTATGACTATTGATACAGATTATAATGATTAGTTCTGATAAGTGCGTAAATGTTATCGCAGTTTACAGATATGTTAAAACAAGCAATGAAGATCTACCATTCGAAAAGGGTGAACGACTTACAATATTGCGGAGATTAACAGTAATTTTCCATTGATGTAATAAATTCTAGGATGGTAATTGGGCTTTAGCAAAAAATACTCAAGGCCAAACTGGTTTAATACCCCTTAATTTCGTTGAAGATCAGTCTCTACCACCGTAATTTTTAAGATTTTGAACTGATTTCCGTTAAGATGGCTTCATGGAAAAATATCCCGTGATGTGACCGAGAGCATTTTGCAAGGCGAACCACTTGGAAGCTTTCTTGTTCGTGAGTCTGGTCGTTTTGCGGGCGATTATACCCTTTCTGTTGTTGCTCCCGATCCTTTTGATGCTAAATTTAATAACAATTCAGAAGCGCCTGTCCAACATTATCACATTTATTCAGTCGACGGTCTAGACGGTATTGACTCCTCGCGCTTTTTCTCTCTTGATAAAAAGGATGTTTTCCCCAGCTTACGAAAACTTGTCGAGGTATTTTGGCATCATAATATAGTGCCAAATTTAGCATTATAAAATTGCCGATCGTGGATTGGCTTATCCTCTCACTAAACCGATTTTCGATACGGAGAGAATCTGTTTACAGCGGCTTAGGGACCATCACTGGGTCCCTAGGGAGAGCTTGATTTTTGGTCAAAATATTGGTCATGGTGAATTTGGTGGTAAGAGTCAATTAATTTTCTATTTTTAATACTTCGTGCGTCTTAGAAACATTTGATTATTTGTTACCTTTTAGAAGTGTTGAGGGCCAGGTATGAGGATCGCGAGGTAGCTGTAAAGCGGTACAAGGCATCAGCTCGGCGTCAGCTGATTTACGAAGCGTATGTCATGTCGTAAGTCGCTCGTCCTTTCTATGATGTATACTGCAGGACACGTCATCGCAGGCACGCACGCGTGCTTAGAGATATTTAGCTATTAATATTCCGGAGAATTTATGTGATTTATTTCTTGGATTTGTTTTTTTTGGTATTATATCTATGTCATATACTTTTCTTCTTGAATTACACTAAATTTGATCCGATTTTATTCAAATGTTATTCACATATTTATGCCTTAAAAAGGGAATTATAATTATTTATTTCACAATATACTTTCAACATATTTTGAATTCCACAGCAAGTAAGTGGTTACGCCTTAATATCTGTGCCCTGGAAGCCCGCTTACTCTAGGACTTCTGACTCCATTTATGG